TCTGTTTTTGGTTTGCTTTTAAATTAACTAATGACAAACTAAAACACAGTATCTAAACAAAATGAATACTATATTGTATTAAGTTTGCAAAAAAAGTTTTAAATTATCAGAAAATTTATGAAAAAAGTAAAACTTCTATTTTTATTTTTTAATAGATTTGCTTTTCTTTGTTTTAATGTTTCTGTTTTTTATTATTCTTATTTTAGGTAAATATCTGCTTTACAAAGCGTTGTTTTGCTACCGTTTTTCTATCATTTTTGGTTGGTGTCAGATTGATTGAAATGCAACGCACTCATGGTTAAGGTTTTTTATTAAATTTAAAATTTATGCACTTTTAGTCCTGTTTTTCTCTATAAAACTATACTACTTTGAAGAATTATGAATGAATTATTGTTTTTCACTTTTACTCAATCTCTACCTTTTGCCTTTTTCTACTTTTAGGGCGTCAAAATTTTCCAACAATCTCCAGGAATAAACAATTGCTATGGCATGACAAAGATGGTTAAATTAACGTTTTACACGGGTGTGAGAGTGTTCAAGCTATCACGTTTTCTTAATAGATAATTTTATTAAAAACAAACAAAATATACATTAACGTATAAAAGTAATAATTCTGGAACATCTATAAATGTTAAGTACTTGGACACATAAAACAGCCTTCAGGTATCAATCACATTTTTTCATATTTTGGTTTCATTTTTGGCTTTTTTTCGTTTACTGATGTAACTTTCAATCGTCCACGCTATTGCGGTCGTGTATGTCATTAAATTGAGGATGTGTAACGTAATGACGTAATTTTTTACCGTATCTCTAATCCAGCCTTCGAATAAAAAATAATTACGTATCTCGATAAGAAGATAAAGTTATTACTCACCTACTACAGGCCCCATGACGAGAAAAAGTAGGCCACTAGTGGCCAATTGGAGACCGGAAGCGGCCGGAAGGCGTTCTAAAGGCACATGAGTTGGTATTACCAAGGCCATGAAAATTGTTCGAAGGCCTTTGCCGGCACCTATAATAACAGCGACTACTAAACCAAAAATGTAGGTTTGTGTGTGGACCAGAACTAAAATTTTTCAAAAAATTTCAAATTTTTCCCATAATTGTAACTCACTTATTCGTCCCAAGGCCATGCTTAGGACGCCAACAAGAAAGAAAGTTTTGTTTTCCCATCCTATTAGTTCGGCTATAAATGGGACGAAAAATCTGACAAGAATGTCGGTGGCGCCTAATAGTGACATAAAAGTAGCGATTTGGTATTTACCAAAATGGAATTCTTCGAGTACCATTGGTGTGATTATCGAGAAATTTATTTCGACAAAGTTGGCAATTGTGATGCCCAACATGAGATTGACATAGATAGGGTCTTTGAAGAGGTCGAAATCGAAAAAAATTGCGATTTTTCGAAAGAATGAAATTTTTTCTGGTGGTTTGTCTTCTTCTTCGTCGTGTTCCTGTTTGTATTCTTCTAATTTTTTAGCAGCGGTTTTAAGGACGTCTTTTTCGTGATATTCAGACACGAGAAGTGTATTGTTTTCGTGTTGTTGTTCTTCTTCTTCTTGAATTGCAGCTTTCGATTGTGAAATTTTGCGTTTCCGTTCTTTACCTTCTTGGTTTAAATTTAACGAAGAGTTTCTTTTAGACCCGGCTTTTGATAAATTATTATAAGATGGTCGTTTTGACATAGCAACTGAATTTTGTCCCGATGGTAACCTCGAATGCGTTTTGTTGGTTTTATTCGAAGCTAGAGAAAGTCTAGAACCCGCCAGTGACCGATTTTGGGAATACCACCCATCATTTGCTTTGACCATCATGGGTGTACCAGGATCTATAATTTCGTAACCAGTGGCATGTGGATCATCTTCATTGTAAAGATATTGACTTGAGAGAAGACTTCGCGATTTTGAAGATTTGGTCAATTTGCCTTCTTCTAGGAAGGGTTTTGCTTCTGGAATACCATTTTCGACTTCTCGGAATTTGGTATGCCATTCGACTGGTTGCAGAAGCAATGAACACAAAAATGCATGAAGGGCAAAAGATGCAAAAATCAAGAGTGTCCCTTCCGTTCCGTAAATTTCCAAAAGGGCTGTAATAATGTAAGGCCAGACTATAGGCCCTAGAGCTGTAGTACTCCACGAGAGACCAGTTGCAATTCTTCTCCGATTTTTGAAATAAGTATTCAAAGCTAAAGCATTAGCGGCTTGTGTGACTCCAATTCCGGTACCATAACACATAGCGTAGAAAATTAAATAAGTCCAAAATGATTGACACAAAGTGGAGATAAACAGTGAGGAGGCTACTAAAAGTGAGCCAAACATTGCGACCTGTCTATATGTAAATTTCCGATAAATTGGACCATTCAACAATCCTGGGAAAAAAATTGTTTTTGTTGAAATTCACGCAAAACTAACCACTCACCTACCCACACACGAATTAAACGCTGAATTTAGATTAATAACAGTCGTAGTTTGCGGATTTGTGATCCCCAAATCGTTGAATTTTTGACGAAAGACGAGACCAAATTGTTGAAACATGGGAAAAGTGCTCAACTGGAATAATTTTCTCATTTAAAGTTCAGAATTGTCTCAACTTACGTTACTGAATCCGCAAGCAAACACAATGAGCCACCCCCAACCCCCATCAGGGGGCGCAAAATCAGGATCCCCGACTCGGAGGCGTCGCCGTTTTGGGGGCGAGTCTATTTTGACCGTTTTTCCGTTTTTTGCAACTTCCATTATATATTTATAGGTGTTTGGCAATTATGCAAAATGTGGTTTTCTCTAATTGCATAAGGAATCGTCGCCTTCTTAGGAGAATTGTTGAGATAATTGACTTGGTTTACTTTCGTTATCGTTTATTTCACCTGCTGCAATTTTTTTTATTATTATCAAACAAATGGTGTGAAAAACCAACCTTTGTGTTTGTTTTTGATTCCTATTTTGGCACTACCGGTGAGTATGTTTCCGTCTTTCCGTTCGAATTGTTTGAACCACACTGGTTTCTGCGAGAACTAGACTGCGAGTTGATTTAAAAATGATGATAAAATCCCATGATAGACATAAAGGGTTATTATCATGTATCTACCGAATGAGAGATTTGGTAAACATAATTAGCAAATCTTTTGTCGAATAGTTGGTTTAAACAGCTTATCTTTGTAATATTTTTTCTCAATTACATGTGTACTAGAATTTATCACTAATAGTGAATTTTTCATTCGTCCATTATTTTTTCACGTGCTATTTTTTACAACACAATTAAAGTTTATTGACGGTATTATTTGATGGACACGTTCTCAAATCGTGTTTTATGGCGAAATTAGACCAAACTTATTAACTGAATCATTTGGAACAGATCCAAATTATTTATAAGCGAACTTTGAACCAGTGGAATACGTTTTTCGAGTAGATTGTTGTCAAAAACGGATTAAAAAATATTGATTGGTTTTGGAGATTTGCTTTTGCAATTATCAGATGATTACATAATTTGAAACATATTTTACGAGTTATTTATACTAATTTAATTTTTTCTCCGTTGAAGGTTAATACATTGTGGTAAGTTGGTCGCCTTTAAGTTTATTTAAAAGTCTGAATTTTAATAAGGTGCAAACTCGTGTTGGCCATCAAGATTAGATAATTTTCAAATGTTTGTTCAGTATCGATAATATTTGATCAATAAGTTATTTAGTATTAGGAACAATAAAATAAAAACATTCCAAAATCACGTGTTTTATTCAACTTGTTACATTTTCCTTAAATAAAATAATCAACAATCCATAAAATCACACAAGACATTGACAGCACGGATGCGGTATGTAAAGTATAGACATACGTTTTGGTCATGTCGTGGATTGCACCTGAAACGGTGATTACAATACTCGGCTTCGCCTCGTCCTACTTACCAATAATGGGTCCTAAGGCTAGAGTCGCAACTCCTGTTAGTAACATATTAAGGCCATTAGCTGCAGGTAATTTTTCTAAAGGTACAAGTTTTGGTATTATCACTGATTGATAAACAGCCTTGATTCCTTTCGCTAGTCCAATCAGAGTAGCGCAGAAAAAAATGGCCGATCGTGATGAATAAAAGTTGGCCATGACTGAAAAAACTGAATTTTGATACGGTTTTAGAAAGTCTTACTTACCAGTTCTGCCAATTGTTGAAATTGTCAAAGATGACGCGTACATGATTTTCGGGGAAATACTGGAATAATGGCCGACTAGTGGTATTAGCAATCGGCCGATAATATCGGCGATTGCTTGTATCGACATTGCTAAAGCGACATTTTGAAGATCAAAATGGGCAAGTTCCGGTAAAATGAAAGACATCATTACGATTAGGTTCAATTCGGTGGCAAAAGAAACTGACATGCCGATAATTGTAACGACATAAGCTCGTTCTTTCAATAATTCTAAATTAAATAGTTGGTGGATTTTACGAAAAATGCTTGTCTCATTTTCGACAGGCATCGTTGTTTCTTTATAAACTTTTTCCTCCTGATTGAGCAATTCGAGTTCTTCTTTGGGATTTTTGTTTTCACTTTCTTGTACGTTTTTTTCAGCATCGTTTTCAGGTTTTTTTATCGGTTTTAAGAAGAAACAACAAATGATACCTATGAGAGAAATGGCGGCTAATATTTGAATCGTACTTTGTGCACTTTCCAAATGTTTGGCCAATTTGTAGCAAACTTGAGGCATAAAAATGTTAGAAATGCCTGCACCAGTGACTGAAAACGAAACGGCTAGAGTTAACCGTTTTTTGAAATATGTGTTTGTGGCAATATACGTCGCTGGGAGCATAATACCCTGTCCTATGCCTGTAATAAAATGTGTTTAATTGGTTGCATAACTAGTGGGTTTCGTACCGACTAAAATCGAGAAAGTGCAAATTAAAATTGCATACGAACGGGCAAAACTGCTCATAAGTATGCCAAGGGACATAAGACAAGTACCGAAAAGGGCCACCCGTCTGAAATCATATTTTTTCAAGAGAGGGCTCCCAATTAATCCTGAAAAAATTTTTAATTGAAAAAAAAAACTAGAAATCTATTTTAAATTTACCTAAACTGCAGTAGATGGCGCTGTGTAAATGCATCATGAAAGATGTTTGAGCAGCTGTTACCCCCAGAGCCTTGAATTCCTTTTCGAAGATAATTCCGAAACATTGTACAAGTGGTAGAACCGATATCTGAAATTTTCAAGAATTGTATTTTTTCTCGTATTTTTTCTCTCTAACTTACGTTAAGTAGAGTGGTAGATAAGACGATAATCCAACCGTAACCGCCGTCAGGTGGTGTGAAACCTTCAGCCTTTTTCTTTTCCATGGCCACAACTGATTGTCATATTTTCTAAAAAACGACTGAAAAAAAATTATATAAGAGGCTTAAGATTGCGCAAATAGATTGCGACGATAAGCTGAGTAAATAAGAATGATGATATTAAAAAAAGGACACATTTGCATGAGATTAGAATATAAAATGGTTTCATAGGACTCACCAAGTGGATAATTCAAATATTTGATTGTTTATCGAGTTGTGTGTTTGGGAAACTTCGATATTGTATTTTGGCGCCCCCTACTCTTTTGTGATAAATTTTTTCGAGCAGTCATGTTTATTTAGACATCGTCTCTATTATTATTGATAATAATTATTAATTTATTCACGTTATGGTCCAAAGAAAAGAAACGCAAGTTGTTTGTAAACTAATCAATGACCTCGAATGAACTCGGTGTATCTTCGGTTGCATAACGAAGCAGTTCAAAATACGTCTAACAAAGATTCAGACAATAGAGAATAATAAAATTGAGAGCAAAAAATTAACAAAATTGTCAATAAACTCAATACTACTAATTGTGTTCATCTTGACGTAAAAGGTTTCTTTTTTAGCATATTTTTTGTTTATCCTCTCGGGTATTTAATTGGTTTGTCCTATTTTATGTGACATAATTAAGGGATTAATTGCTTGCCTCGTGTAATTTATGTAAATTTTCCTTTGATTAGGAAAGGGTCAAAACAGTTTTACCAAATGAGTAAACGCGGACGCGCTAATAAACACAAAACTGAATCATGCTATTATGTGTCGAAACAATTTTGAAATACAGGGTGAATATAAAGTACGGAACCAAGCGTTTTTTTTTTAATTATTTATTTGCCTTTAAAAAATAATAATTAAAGTAATGTAAAAAATGCGATCAAATTGTTTCGTTTTTGAGATAGGCGATTTTTTTGTCAAAATGGCAATTTTTGTAAAAAAAAATTTTGATAAAAAATAGATACTTTTAATCCTTAGATCGTAACCTTCATGAGAAAAATGCTTTTATAGTGAGTTGCCATTTAACAAAATATTTTTTTTGCAGAACTCAAAAACAAAAATTTCGAAATTTTTTTTTCATAGACGAAAAATCCCACAAGCCGCTGTGTTTTTGTCACAAAAGCGACAAAAGTTTGCCCTAACTATTACAGCGACAAAACGGAACCGAACATTTGAAAGCGTCTGAATCTAGTAGGTCTAGTAGTAGTACTTTCGATTAAATTAAATAAACTAATTTACACCTTATTTGTTAATTTAGTAATTTACGTATTCATTAAATTGTCTTTCCGAATTACACTCAAGCTTTTTTTTACGAAGAAAACATTTTTAATTCGAGTTTTGTTTCCTTTAGGCAATTTAACTCAAAAAACTGCCAGTTTTACGGACTCGTAATTTTTTCAGAAGCATTTTTTTCGTTAAAATGCCAGAAAACAAAATTCTCTTTAAAATGTCAAGTTTACTTTGAAAAAAAAAGCTCTCTCTCGTGTAATTATAAGTGATAAAATACCACATTTTTATAGTACTTAGTTTTAATTAGTTTTTTTCAAAATATAATTAGCAAAAAACGTTTGGTTCCATACTTTTTATTCACCTGGTATGTGAACGAACTACTGTTTTTTTATGCGTCTTTTTAATTTATGATTGATGACCTATGTTTGCAGTTTTTTACGGACTTTAACCCATAATAATATCACCGGAACGCTGAATAATTCGAAATGAAATTCTGCGACCTGTTGATCTTTATTCAGCGAATATATTTAATATTTAAAACATACAAAACGTCATGCTGTATAATTATTATTTTTTTACTTTATTGGTGTTTTTCCATAGCTGACACTCAATTAATTATAATTCAATCAGCACGCGATTCTTGTAAGTTTTTTTATTGGGTTTTTAATCGATGTACCAAGACCGACCTGTTACAAAAGTTTAAAATCGATTCACAGCTTAATGTAAATATTGTTATGAGTCATTGAATTAATACGAAAACAACGTGTTTTGGTAGGTACTTGATGTGGATTTATCGCCGATGTTAATAAATTTATTTTGATTTGTGTGACGAAATTTTCACGCCTTGTTGAGATAAAAATTCTCAAAATTGTTAAAAGTGGTTCATTGTGAAGTGAAATCGACTGATTATCTTATCCATTGCTTTTTTTATTCTCTTTGCGATAAAACAGTACTTCTGCATTCGTTTCAATCAAATAAACCACAATGGGTACGCGGTGGTAGTGTGATGTGTGAATTTTAATACAGGTTTGTGATTTTTTATCGCCAAAAAAGTGTTAGATTTTCTTTTCATCGATCCGGAAACTCCCGGATTCACTCACCTCGCCCAACATATTAACGGTTCGTCATCGGAATTTTCCTACCGCAAGCGCCCTTGGTGTGTGCCTTTATTTGCGCCCCTTCCCTTAACCCTCGCCGTGCCCTAGATTCGGATCAATGATTTCAAGGTCGTTTGAATTTTTCGCATTTCAAACTGTATCGAAAATTTCTAATCAAAGACATATTTTTCGAAAATTTGCTAAAATACACGTGGTCTGCGCGTGAACACAACGAACGTCACGTGACGTCTTTGCATGGGATCGATGATGGAATTCTGTCCGTCGACGACCGGGCCACAAACAGAAAGTCAGTCGAGTTATTAGTTGTTGGTAACAACTACGAAAAAAGTGCCCTCACGTGAGATGAGTACGTATCTGTGTCATTTTTTTGTATGTTTATAGCAGTGGTTTTGATTTGAGGGTGAGATTTTTCCGGGTGTCCCGGATTTTGCATTGATTTTTTTCCGGTTAAACAGTTTGGTCATTCTTTTTTTTTGCTTGTTAAATTTTGTAATTTTGATATGATGGGGCACCGTGCGCTGTTCACCTTGACCTTGCTTTGAAATCTAGATTAAGCTCGTCTATTTTAAGTCGAGCTTTTCATTCATAGGAGAAATTGCGTGACAGAATTTGAATTTTCGATTTCACTGTACCGTGTCTGAAATTCCCGATAAAATGACTCAGAGTGTCATGATGGTCCAAAGTCCAGTAACGGGAGTTCCGCTTGTCGAATTGAAAGAGATGTTGAGACTCTTCATTTTATTTATCGATTGTCGGCGCGTCATGTGAAGGTCGACATTATCGTCCGGATTTGTGTACGCTCGATTTGTTTTTTTTTCGAAACGTGTTTTTCACCGGATTTTTTATATTGTGTTCGTGAAGAGTTTTTGGTTCTAGGTTGGCCAGAACCATGTTCGTGGAAACAAAGAAAATGGTCCCTCCAGATGGCGGATGGGGGTGGATCGTCGTCATAGGAGTCAGTGTCGTCAATGTATGTGATTGGTGATAACACAAGGCGACAAAAAAAAGTCATATCGTAACAACTTGACAAATTTTATGTCAGTGAGACAAATCAAATGCACTAAATTTTTTTTTAAAAAGTCCACACACTGAACAAAATATTTTTTTTTCTAATTTAAATGAATTTAAAATACTTTAACTTTAAAAAATCATTACTCAATAACTATTAGGCCGATTTCCTTCAAATAAAGACCATTCTAAAGGGATGGCCTTGCCCTTTAGAATGGTATAAAATTTGAAATTGAATATTGGTAAACTTTTCTTCGAACAGCGTTCGAAAAAGTTCGAAGTAAATCGAAATAATTTAAGAAAAACCCTACGATTATTTTTTTTTTCATTATTACCATCGTGTAGAGCATCTCTTTATTAGTTGTAATCCAAATTTTCAAAAAAATATACTGAGTAGTTTTCAAGATATGATTTTTTGAAGTTATGGTTTCCTAATCAAGCATTGCTCTATATAGGAGAAATGCATGTTAATCTTACTTAAAATTGCATTTTTATAAAAGCATTTGTTTTAAGACTCTTCTTTTGCTTAAAAATGGTCAATTGCACCTTCTTTGTTCTAATTAGAATTAACAAAAACTGTTTCTTTACTTAAAACAAACAAAGACTACCTGCGTACTAATTAATGCAAATAAAGAGTTTTTTTGTTGTAAAAATGACCACTGATCATTGAGCAAAGAGGATCTAGAAGTTTAAGGCACGAGCCTTAAATATAAGGGCAAATCTTTTTCAAATCAAATCACTTTCCATTCAGATTTCGACTTGTTCACTTTGTTCTAGCTTTCTGAACTTTTTTTGAAAATGTTCTAAGCAAATGCTTTCTCATCACTTTCGAGTGATGTTAAATGCAAAAAGTCACCTGATTTATTTTGTTGGTATATTCTACGATTAGCTTCAGTTACCTTGTAGGTAGTAGTTGTTGTGATAACATTTGCACACGAAGCAACTGACTTATTGCATTCAACATCAGTGGAAAGTGATGAAAAAGCATTTGCTGAGAACATTTTCAAAAAAAAAGTTCAGAAAGCTAGAACAAAGTGAACAAGTTGGAATCTGAATGGAAAGTCATTTAATCTGAAAAAGATTTGTTCTTATATTTAAAGCTACTGCTTTAAACTTCTAGATCCTTTTTGCTCAATGATCAGTGATCATTTTTAGAACAAAAAAACTCTTTATTTGCTTTAATTAGTACGCAGGTACTCTTTCTTTGTTTTAAGTAAAGAAACAGTTTTTGTTTATTCTAATTAGAACAAAGAAGATGCAATTGACCATTTTTAAGCAAAAGAAGAGTCTTAAAACAAATACTTTTATAAAAATGCAATTTTAAGTAAGATTAACATGCATTTCTCCTATATGGCGCAATACCTGAATAGCAAACCTTAACTTCAAAAAATCATATCTTAAAAACTACTCGGTATATTATTTTAAAAATTTGGATTCTTACTAATAAAAAGATGCTCGACACGATGGTGACAAAAAAAATTTACTCGTAGGGTTTTTCTTAGATTACTTCGATTTACTTCGAACTTCTTCGAACACTGTTTGAAGAAAAGTTTGCCAATATTTAATTTCAAATTGCATGTCATTCTAAAGGGCAAGTCCATCCCTTTAGAATTGTCTTTATTTGAAGGAAATCGGCTTAATAGTTATTGAGTAATGATTTTTTAAAGTTAAAGTATTTTAAATTCATTTAAATTAGAAAAAAAAAATATTGAGTTCAAAGTGTGTGGACTTTTTGAATTTTTTTTAGTGCATTTGATTTGTCTTGCTGAGACGAACAAAATAATGTAAAATTTGTCAAGTTGTCACGACATGACTTTTTTTGTCGCCTTGTGTAATCTGTTATCTTAAATGACTGAAAAGAAGGCGAAATTTGTATTTTTTTTTCCAGTTATGTACTCGTTCAATCGAGCCATCTTTCGGTTTACTCTTCGGCGACTTACTGAAAGAGCTGAAAGTTGAAACGACCGGAGCCGCCCTTATAATGAGTACTTTGGACGCATTGATCAACTTTTCAGGACTTTTCGTAGGACCTCTAATCCGTGCCTTCTCATATCGTAAAGTTTCCCTCGTCGGATCAGCTTTATGCGCCTTGGGGCTGATTTTGACCTATCCCGCCAACAGTATGGCGCACATCCTTGCAACATACAGTATTATCAACGGTAAAACCCCCAATTTTGATCCAACCTACCCTTAAATTGTTATTTCATAGGTTTAGGAGTAGGTTTAACCGCATCGTCGACTTTCGTCGCACTCAATAATTATTTTGTGAAAAAGCGAGGTCAAGCTGTGGGTCTTTCACTCGCAGGGACGGCTTTTGGTATGATGTTGATGCCACAAGCCGTCAAATTGCTTTTAGAAGAGTTTAGTTTTCGTGGAACGATTTTAATTTTGGGAGCATTTGCTTTAAATGCGATTGTGGGCTCATCGTTGTTACAACCGGCGAAATGGCATTTTGTACCCGAAATCAAGGACGAGGAAGAAGGCTATCATCAGGTAAAAATCAATAAAAACATTGTTTTTATGTAATAAAAATGTGTGTTTTTGTGTTTATTGCTGCAGAGAATCTCCTTCTTTTTTGCGTCAAATGAGGTAAAGAGAAGGCTTGATTTGACTGTTTTATGTCACGTTTTTTAATTTTTTTTTGCACTATAAATAGGAAATGGAGACGATCAAAGAAACGGAGGACGAAGATCTCGACTTGCATGAAGCCCAAACTTTGATCAATACGAAGGGAATGTCCGAATTGGCTGTGAAAACTTTAGAAGAGTTGACAAAACAGCCGGGTTTGTCGCGAAAATCGACTTTTCCTCGGAATTTTTCAACGATGAGTTTTCTCGGGAGTAAAAGACGAAAACCGTCACAGGAATCGATCGTTTCGAGTTATTCTCGCCTGGATTTTACCGGTTCCAGTCTTCAATTACATCTAGAGGTTTGTCGAAAAATATTTGTTTTTATATTATTGTTAATAATTCTTTAATATTTAGCAAAACGAAACTGATTCGGGTTCGAGTTCCGCCACCCACCTTCGTCGTAATATGAGTTATCCTGGTGTTCAACTCACTTCGCACAAGAAAATTCTGGCTGAATTTGCAAAATCTCCGCTAAAGTTCGAAGTGGAGAAGAAGAAGAAGAACGTGTGGAAGAAGATTGTTGATTTTATGGATTTTGATCTATTGACAGATCCCATTTACTTGAATCTGGTTTTCGGTCTATCGATTTTCTACGTGGCCGAACAGAATTTTAAATTGGTTACACCGTTTTTCTTCGAGAATATCGGCTACAAAAAAGCGGACGTCGCCTTGTTTTTATCCGTCCAGGCGTTCACCGATATCCTGGCAAGACTGATCCTGCCGCCGATCTGCGACAGGATTAATGTGTCGAAAAGGACACTTTTCATGACCGGGATTTTTGTTTTGGGTATTTGTCGCTCAGGTAAATGTTTTTGCGAGTCTAATGTCCGTTTCGAGGACGGATGGCTTGAAAAATTCGAAAATTGTAGAAAAAAAATGTATGTGATTGTGATTTGGTAACGAAGCCGTCCGTTCTTGCGACCTGTTACACTATAATTAAATTCTCTCCATTGCTTTAGGATTTCCAGGTCAAGTCCCTTTTTTCGAGTTATGTTTATTTAATCGTACGGATTTTTAATTTTTCAAATAACTTTCGGGATTGGAAAAAGACTTTTGGTTCGATTGGGAAGTTCCGCTCATAAAATTAGAGTTTTTCTTTGATTATTTGACGCGTCCCTAGTTCGTAACTTTTGCCTGTTATGACCATGTATTCTAATGTTGTTATGACTTTTTGTTGGCAGCGGAAGGAGCCAAAGACTAGGTAACCCCCAAAAACATAGAAAAGTAAGCTTTCAAAAGGCATTATTTTCTCATCATTTCAGTTTTCTGTTTTTTAGTTTGATTTGAAAAATCCTGCAGGAGTTTGTCATTTTGTTTTCAATTGCTGATTTATAATTTTTTCTTTTGCACAGAGTCACTTGGTGGTTTTCGTGCTTTGGATGTAATTAGTATTTCTGTTTCTTCCAGTCCTCGCTGAACAGACCGATTGGACCCCCATTATGGTGTGGTTGGTCATTTGTGGGTTCTTCAGGGGGGCTGCCCTCATTAATTTCACCATCACGATATCCGAATACTCATCATTGGAAAAGTTACCAGCCGCTTTCGGGCTACATATGGTGGGGAAGGGGCTGTTTGTCGTCGCAGTGGGCCCCATTTTAGGTAATTTCATTGATAAATTCATCAATTTTTGGGTAATTGTTCTGTTTAAAGGAATCATAAGGGATACGACCAAGAGTTACCCGATTTGTCTTCATTCACAGACTTTTCTTATTCTTGTTTGCTGTGTGGCTTGGAGCATCGAATATGCTTTCAGGTTTTTTAGAACTAGGAGTGTGGAGTCGGACACGGACACGTCGACCACATGACAAACGGAGGTTGACTGTTAAAGTCATTTTTTGAACAAGGGACAGAAAAAATTCAAGGATGATTTAATCTGTTTTGTTTTGTCAGCTTTCTAGGTTTCTATGATATTCTAAGTGTGATACGATTAGGTTTAATGAGACTGAATCTGTGAGTATAGTGTTCCATGAAAATACTTAAGTTCTACTTGTACATAGTTTTATGATTTAAAGTAGCAATAATCCAAAATGTATTAATGGTTTTATATAAAAGAGTCCTATTTAAGTTGGGGTTTATTTTTTGGTTCCTGTTTTTTTCTCAGTTTCTTAATTATCAGTTCGATGATCCAAGTTACGACACATGTTAGATAAGCGAGGCTCAACAAATGGACGACCATGACGTCGCTTTGTGTCACTTTTTTCACAAAACCTGTGGAAAATAATAGTGAGAAATAACTTCAGTATGAGACTTACTCATCAAAGGCCCGAAAATGAAACAAACGACTCCACACACAACCATGTAGAGTGAAAATGCCGTCGAGAAATTCTCCGAGTACTGCTCTGAAATCACAACAGGGAGAGGAGTTTGTATAAAGGCCCTCAGAAATCCCACACAAGCCACTGTTGCCAACTTCCAGTAGTAATCGTTTCGGGAGACAAAAGCCGTCCGGAAAACCACCAAAAGGGCCGATCCTGTGAGGAAATAGTACCGATTTTTGATTTTCGTAAGGGCGCTTATGACAGTGAGAAAAATCCGGGCGAGTAAATCAGCGGCGAAGAAAACCGACATGAAGAAAGCCGTTTCGTGGGAGTTGAATCCCGCGTTGATGAGCACGAGAGGGATTATCGAGATGAAGGCCACATCGGCGGTGAATCCCAGAGCTAATCCCAGGGCAATGTTCACGTAGACAGGATCCTTGAACATCCCTAAATCCATCGACTTGGCCAAATTTTGCAAGAAGTTTGTCTTTTTTCCGGGCGATTTGTTGATTGTTGTCACAGAGAGGGCCCTATCGCCGAGGCTTATGATGGAGGCTCGAGGTTTCGGCATGATAAATTTGCCATCATCAAGCCCTAGGAGTTCCTCTTTTTCGAAAGTAATTTCCTGTTTCCTCAAATGCCACTCGACGGGTTGCAGGGTGCACGCGGCCAAAACCCCGTGGATACTCAACCCGGAAAGCATGGCCACGGTGCCTCTAAACCCGAATTTCTCCATAAAAAACTGCCCCACGAAGGGGAAACACATCCCGGCGACGACCATAAACGCCTGCGCTGCGGCGTTCACGATGTTCAATTTCCGGTCGAAGTAAGAGTTCAGCGCCGTGAAGAACGCGGGGACCATGAGCCCCATCCCCAGCCCCTGGATGACCCCGAACGACAGCACCATTTGCGGGAGAGTCGTCACGAAAATCGTCGCGAAACTCCCCACGAAGTAGACCGAGGCCCCGACCAAAGCCACCGTTCTGTAGGTGTACTTCTGGAGGAGGTTGTTGGAGGCCAACCCCGTGATGTTGAAGCAGGTGTTGAAGATGCCGTTGGCGAGGGTTGTACCCGTGGTTTCGTCGCCGATTTTGGCCAAAAACCGGCCGAAAATCAACCCGAATGACGACATCGGGATGATTGTCACACTCTTGAAACGGCTTTAACGATTTGGAAAATTGCTATTTTGGGACTTACGGTCATGAGGGTGAGGGCGGCGGCCACGACGTACCCCCAGCCCCCGTCGGGGGCCACGAGCTGGTACTTTGATTTGCGTTTCGGAGTCTCCATGAGAGATAATTGAAACAATTGACTTCATTTCAAACGTTATCATTTATTTATTTAGTCTTAAAAGTGGATCATAAATCAGAGATGTTTTTTCTAAAGGGTAACCTATGACTTAGTTGTTGGTTTTTTCATTGTTCTCTTGCGTAATTGGCGATTTAAGAATTTTTTTTCCGAGATAATACCACTTAAGGTTTATGTAAATTTGTAATTTTGCCTCAAATTTTGGTTTATTTCGTAACGTTAAATAATACCTTCTGTGCACGATTGTCAGTGGCTCATTAAATTGTAATATATTGTTTATAACAGCTCGGAGATATTTAAATTCCTTCACGTTTTCAAAATCGTCGGTTACAACCCACGCGAGGTAATCTAGCCCAAGGGGCGCGTTTTTAATATCTTTTAATAGTAATTTGACACTATAAATTAGTAATAATTTATAGCGTTTTAAACTTTTCTAAAAATGGCCCGACAAATATTTGGGTCCGTCCCTGGCAAGGCGGATCCAGGGGAGGGGGCCAGGGCCCCCCCTAAACTAGCCATCGAAAGTTTCAATTTTTTATATTTAAATTTTAATATAAATTTAATTTAATAATAAAATACGAGTACCTTATGACCTAAAGTTTTTTCTAATGTTTTAAATAAAAACATTAGAATTCTTTTTTAATCACAGTTATTAATACAAATCATACATATACCGAGAGATCAAAATAATTTGTAATCGAGTAATTTTTGGATCCGAAAACGTACTGTTACGGAATTAAAATTTCGGCCAATACTGTCATTTTCATAATGTAAACTCTAAAACAACCTAACCTCATTTTTACTCTTGTCAGATTTATGTCATTTTTGACTGATTTATTTTCAAAAATAGTGATTTGTGGCATAATAACGGGTAGGCAGCAGATCAAAGCGATGATTTAATTACACTTAATTCAATTAATACATTTTCTAAGACAGACAAATAGTTTAATTAACAATTTTAACAACAAATAAAAATAAGTTTAATAGTCAAATGTCAATCATGATGACAGTAAAAGTTTAGGTACAGTGAACTTTTTAAAGTGACAGAAAAATACTGCCCCAATTTTTAATTCCGCAACTGTACGTATATCTGTTTTTGAACTAACTGTACGTGAAACGTCAAATAAAATGACAAGTCGAAAACGGCAAAATGGGCTGGAAATAGTCGCCGACGAATAAGACCGTTCTTTTTTTAAGGTAATTAAATCTTAAATTTACTTATTAAAAGCATCATCTTTTTGATCATGGGATTTTACCTTTCCACTTGTCATTTTATTTGACGTTTCACAGACATACGTTTTCGGAAACAAGGACGAGTCGATTACAAATTATCTCGATATCTGGATACTTACTTAGTTTTTACTGATTTAAAAATCATCAATTGTAATTTTCTTTGGGCCACATCTTAGGTATCTAATTAAATTAAATTTATGTGTTTGAATAATGAACTTTACCAAATCGCTAGTACACCTTATTGAGTGAGCGGCAAAATTATGGAATAATTTTATTAAAACAGAAAATATTTTGTTTTGGTAAAAATGCTCGAAGAGGTCAATTCTCTTTTTAAAAATTCACAATTTTCAACTTGTTTTAAAATTCCGCACTTTTTGGTTTTTGAGTAATGATATTTTTTAGCGAATTTGCTAGATTTTTTAATTGTTGAAATGGCAACACCAAAATATTATGAATTAAATAAAGTTTTTCAAAAAAACTATTATCCAAAAAGTGAAATAATATCAATAAAAAACAAAGATACAATTTTATCAAGTTAAAGATTGATTTTGTATTTTTTTTTGCCAAAACAAAATATTTCCAGTTTTAATAAATAAGATTATTCTATAATTTTGTCGCTCACTGTATACTTACCTCATCATTTTAAAAATTTTCATATAGGCCCCCCCCAAAATTAATTCCTGGATCCGCCCCTGGTCCCTGGACAATGCGTTATTTACGGCACTGCGGGTATTAATAATTTCCTGCATGTAATTAGATCGCGCCGATAATTAAAGTAAATTAACATTAATTTGCGCTCGTGAAACTTTTACAATACAATATAAAGCATTTTGCGTTTTATTTTTTTGTTCCCTTAATTGGTTCACCCTGTAGTTATAGGTTAAGACGGAATTACGACCGTTTATTAAAAGTCAATTTGTCGTTGAATCGTTATATTGGCATGACGTTCGCTTTGGGCTTCGTCTTATGTAAATTTCGACTCGCCCTCGAGCGTCGCAATTATTAAATAACGAATTTACCGAGAAACGAGTCGAAAAAAATTAAATTTCGGTAATTAGAGTCCGGGTGTGTTCGTACCACCGATCAAATGTCATTAACGCTGCTTAATTAAGAAATATTAATGTCAAAATGCCAATTATTTAAAGATATTACGTTTGAATTGCGCCGCTTCATTAAAAAATCTCCAAAAACTCGCCACTTATTAATTCGGAAAAAACGAAAAACTAATTAAAACGATTCGTAATTATCGTCTGTTCACACCTTTATCGACCGAGATTTATGAAGAATGGGCCTTATCAGACGCCATCTAAATGGTGGCCCACCATTGTTATTATGATTAATACACAGATATCACACCTTCGAATTAGGGCTCCGAATTTTGAAAAAATCACGAAAATTCAGGGCCTAGACGAGGCAATTAGTGCGTTAACGAACCTCAAATTTAATAAAAGTATTTTTTAATTTCGAAATGTAAGAATTACGAGCGTTTCTCGTTATCGCGTCGTAATTTCTTCGGCCAACTTTAATTAAATCGATCTTAATCTTTTGTCGAAATCTAATGGAAAAAATCGAACGTTGGGGCCCCCTTTATAATTACACAATTATATATTTACTTATCAGTAATAACATCGGGGGGCAGTAAAATCGGCTTCCGACGCTACCGTCACCGATCCCAAAATACGATATCTCGTAAAAAAAAATTCCCACCCTTGAGAAATAACGATTTCGTGCATACTTGAGGCTGAATAATTACGTCAACAAGGTAATGATGAGTGCGGATTTTAAAATATCGACAAGAGAAAATTTTCCGGAATTGTGACGCAACACGATTTCAATTAAATCGCTGTAATTACGGCTTTAATTGAGGGTAATTGAAACACGTCGGTCTACATTTATTAACGCATCGCTCTTGAGGTTTCGTTAATTAATAATTGAATAAACAGCAGTTGTGCGAAATGCGAATCCATCATCCAGGCGGCGGGGAGAAACCTAACCAAACTTTCTAGGTTGCCTAGGAAATAGCCTGCAATTTGATTGGTTGTTGTCAAGGGAACGGGATTATTGCCTAGCAACCTGAAATTTACCTAGAAAATTGTGTACACAACCCGGAACTATTTTTTTAACCACTGTGTATGATTTCGCGACCACACACATTGCCTCGATTTACGAAAACTGCGTCATTAAGCTATTACTGGGCTTTCTGATTGTAGCAAGCCGTGGATAATTGTAATTACTCATTAATGAAAACCGCTTATATCAACTGTAATTATCCTTTTACGGCCCGTATTTTCGGGTAGTAGCACACGCGTTCACTTTTAATTTCAAAGTCACGATCACCTTTCAGCATTCACTGAAAATTTTTCCAACGCTTGTTCTATTACAGTCATTATTTTACCCCTATGTAAAAGGTGAACAAAAAGTATGGAACCATGATTATTTGTCTTCAGAAAATTCTATACCTAGTGCTATAAAAAATGTGATCGTGTTTTGAGAATGACATTTTTTTTTTGTTTAAATGGCAGCATACAGGATGGTTTTATTACAGAAAAATACTAAATAAGATACCAGGAACAGAGAAAAATGTTTAAAAATGCTCTTAATAAAAAAAAGTGACATTTGAGTTTTTTTATATCTATTTATTATTACTGATCGATGATCTTGTATATGTTTTTTCATCATTTTTCAGTAAAGGTACAAAAACTTTGCTAATAAAATCCACAAATAACGTTAAACATAGTTACATTTATTTTGAGATACAGCTTCTTTGTTTCTTCTTCTAGTAAAAAAACTTGGAAAATTATGTTTCCAACAGAAATAAATAGGGTCACAGTGCCAAATTTAAACCTCCATATTTTCTAAATTTTTATAGATATAATGTTATTAAGATTTTTTTTATGTTCCTTGTTTTATGTATCTTATCTTACTTGGTCTTGTTCTCTGAAACACGCTGTATAGCTGAAAATGTATCTATAGATACTAAAGCATTCGAAAAAAGCAAAAATAAATTGTCATTTTCAAACCTGTTTAGTAAAATCTCGTAAAAAAACAAATGTTTAGAACTATTTTTAACCAGTTTGGTGTTTTTTCAATTTATTTTTTGAAAATTTGGGACGAAATAGTCAAGTTTCTAGTTGAAAAACGTGGAATTTATTTTTAGGCTAATTTGCAATCATTGAAAAATTAGTGTAATTTGTTGTAATTTCAGAGTTACAACAGTTTTTTTTTTCATTTCTAAAAATCAACTCTGATACTACAATTTTTGTAGTAGTTTTCATTTACCCATTTGATCCCACGATACTTTTTTCCAAAATTTTATTTATTTTTTCAAATTCATCTAATCATGAATCATAATAATATCTAATAATTACTGAAACACAAAAAAATTATTCATTGAAATTATCTTAGCAAATTTTTCAAAAAATACACCAGACTAACATGAAAATTGAGTGTTAAAATTGCATTGCATTGGAATTTTAACTTACTTGGTATTTTTGTCTGGGGCGCGAGTTCTGAACCATTCTGTATATAACTTTTTTTCGATAAAAATTAAATAAAATGTAGATAATTGTAATTCTTAGATCATAGTCTTTGTAAATCAAAGGTTTTCTAATGGGTTACCATAAAAAAATACTAAAAATTTTACTGAACTCATCAAAAACCAAATTTTTTTTAAAAAACTTAATTTTTTTATGAGGATTTTAAGCAAAAAACGTTTGGTTCCTTGTTTAGTAAAATCTCGTAAAAAAATTATAT